ATACTTTTAAATAATAAAAATAATCATAAGTTATAAAATTAAAACTTATTCATATTGTATTTTATCTTATTTACAATGATTAATAAAATAATCTTATAATATCAATTATATAATAAAAAAAATAAAGATTTTATATGCATAGCAGAAGTCTCATAATATTAAAATTAATTATTTTTAGAATATTTTATAACTAAAAATTATATATTATACTAATAAGAAAAAATATATAGCACATAAAGCTTTCAAGAATAATAATTATAATTATTTCTATAAAATAGTTTCTATAGATATATACATAAATTTTTTTTAATAATTCAGATTTTTTTACTAATTATTACTTAATATTTTTAGTTATAGAATGATATTTTATTATTTTTACTACTGATATTTTTATTATATCAGTAAAAGTAAATATCAAATAAATCTTTTTAAAACAGTTCTTAAAAAGAATCTTGAATTAATTTGAAAAGATATAAAGTAAATATTAGATATTATTATTGAATTATTAAAGAATCAAATTAGTATAGATAATTTCTCTATCAATAAAAAGATCAGAATCAAAAAATTTACTAAAAAATAGTAAATAGATAGATTCATATATACTTCTATAATTTATTTTTTATACTAATAAAGCTAACCAAGATCAATTTTCTCTTTTTTCTCTTTGGTTTAGAAAAAGATAAATAAATAGTATTATATAAAGATTAAAAAAAATAGTTAACTATATATTATTAATTATATACTAATTGCATATATCTGATTTTGAATATATATGTAAAAAGATGAAAATAGTAAGAGTATTTTTTATTTGAATTGTCATTCCAAGATATGTAATTTCATTTCAGTTTATATATTAATTATGCTTTAGATTTATATAAAAAATATATAAAAAAAATAAGAAAGTAAGAGATCTTTTATAAGAGTATTCATCATATATTATAAATAAAATCTATATTATTATTCTTATTAAGAATATTTTAAATAAAATTTTTAAATTCTTATTACTAATATTTAAATTTCAAAATTTTTATCATACTTACTATATGATGAGAATAAGATTTTTTCAAACTTATATATTATACTTAGAATATTTACTATAATTAGTTATAATTATCTTTTTTATCAGATTTGTCTTGAAAAATATCTTTTATAATCAGAATTAAGATGTTTAGTTTTTAGATATAACAAAGATATTAAAACTATTCTTTCATTAGCTAAAATAAAATATAAGAAGATCTAATAGAAATTTTATCACAAATATCAGTATTATTTTCACAAAAAGATTGTAATAATAATAATCAAGATCTATCATTATTTGAAAGTAATATTAATACTAAAGAAAATCAGACTAAACAAAGTAAAGATATCACTCATAAAATAAATATAAATACATTATCACTCAAATATATTAGTGAATTAACCTTCAGTGATGATAGATTATCTAATAAAAAAGTTAAAAGACTAGTAAAAAGAAGAATAAGAAATTATCTATATTAAAAAAACTTATTAAGAAGTTAACATTTTTATCTAATATCATCTCTTTGCAAATTATAAGCTCTAATAATTTTAATGATCTATATGATATAAGTATTAAGATTAAAGAATAAATTAAAAGTATAAATCAAAAGATTCTTAGATATAATTATATATTTAAAAAAGAACTTGAGAATAAGTTCAAGTATTATAAAAAAAATAATAGAGATTATAAGACTTAGAAAAAACTTATTAATAAAGTTGTAAAATAACTTCTCAATAATCTCTCAAGAAATATAATTAAGAAAAAAGTAGAAAAAATAAGAAAGATTTATAATCTTTTTAGTAATATTAGATATGAGAAGATATAATTAATAAAGTCTTATTTAGCATTAAGAATATCTAAATTAAGTTGAGACAAGATTGATACTATAGAAAAAAGTTTGTATAGAAGTTCGATATTTATTAATTTACTATGTCATATATCACGTGACTTCGCTGACCGACTCGGTTAAGAAAATTATAACTTATTGATAATCATTTTATTTTTTATATCCAATTCCTTTTCCAATAATTAATATGGGTAAAATTTTATTAATATAGACAGATTCTTACAAAAATCTATCCGAGTAGTATGGATCAGGATCCAGAAGCAGGCCAAACATTAGTCGAATGTTGAAATCAGTTCTAGGTTAGAATTGATGTATATGTTCTGCAAAAATCATGCGATTCAGCAACCATGTTGCCTAGTATATTTAATGAAATGTGTATAGACTTTGTCCAATAAAGTTTGCTTATACATACTCTGAATCTTGTGTAAAATAAAGTATCATCATGATACATGCTATATAAAAAAATTGCTTGTATCAAATGATCACCTGTCGAGATGCGTGTATTAATACCTATAAATTTTATTTATCCTTGATTCTCACGCTTTTTTCTCTATTATTATGATGCACTCTTCAGGAAAGCGATAAAGTAAAACTTCACTTCTCAGAGATGCGTGCTAGCAGTTGTAACTCAGAAGTCATAGTTAAGAAGTTTTCGCGACATCTTCGTTATGACAGAAAAATTAAGTGGAAACTTTAGATATACAAATATTCCAAGCATTAATTTGATATTCTTGATACATATATCACCGTTACTTTGGCGTAGAGAACCTAAGTGAAAGAGCAATTTTTCTATCATGACCAATAAATATCGTTATTATTTTTTACCATGCCCTATAAACATGTCGTTAAACCTCTTCAAGTTCGTTCACGACAAAGGTATTTGTTCTTTTTTTCTTAATAATTTTTTATAACCGATTTCACATTTACATATATATATTGATAATATATAGTGCAAGAAAAGAAACTTCGCAAACTTGCAAAAAAGTGTGAAACAGGTGGGTAGCAGTTAAATTATTTCCCTGCGTGTTGATGTTATAAATTATTAATTGGTATTTTGTATTAGTTCCTGAGAATCTCCCTACAATTCTTCAAAATCCAGATATTGTCACTCTTATTCTCAAATATTTAAAAGGCAAAGATACTGATGACGAAATGCTCGCACTTTTGTTCGATTGGAATCAAGCCGGCTTCAATGACACCAATGTTCCAAATTGCCATAATGGTGTTGCAGGACAGACCCAAGAGGCTATAATCGCAAATCTCCTTGCAAACGGAGCAACCGATTTTATGAATCTGAACATACTATTCATTTTTCCAAATGGTCAAGCAATTGGGACTTGGTGTAGGAATTTTGCTGCGAATTTGCCTTGGTATGAGATAATTCTATATTTTATATTCTTTGGCATCAGCTTAATCCATTATCCTTTCTTAAAGGGCGAAACAGCAAGCTGGTGTTGCAGATATCTGTAACAACATCTTAAGACTTAATAAGATTACAGCCCACACAGCCAATGTAGATATCGAGGATTTTTTAGTTCTCTTGGAATAAAGAAAAAAGATGAATAAGTATTTGTTTTTGAAATGATTGTTACTTTTTCTAAATTATTAGTTAATTTACCCCTTCAAACTGATACGAAGGAATATTCGGTCTCTCTCATTGAGTTGTGCCAAAAATCAAAAGAAAATTCTGCAATCAATCCCTCCCTTGCAAGGTTTTACGCTTCGTGAGCACTTTGTATCCAATATAATAAAATAGCGCGCATTTTGTGTACATGTTGTGTGATCCGAATATATATGAAACTCGATATCTAGGATGCTTTGCGTATTGCTCGTTGCGATTCCCAATGGTTGCTTACCTTTAAATCGGCATCACGTCCCACCATAATGCACATGCAAAAAATGATTGCCATACATCACGGTTGATTTCAGAAAGTTTCTCATTGAAGATGATATACGTACTTATGATATAGTCGTGATTATTTTTTTTTAGTATAATAAAGTTTTCGAATAAAGTTTATCCGCGTTTAAGGCTTGTGTTTTTAACTCGTGTATGCATGAATGTGGGTGTATAATGAACATCGGAATAATAAAAACTTATATGCCGATATCGTATACAATAATGTTAACTTTATTGTATGGATATCAATGTGTACTAACTCATAAATTGAAATTTGAATAGATCTATGCATTACATAAAAAATACGGAAGACAGGCTATGGAAGAGAACACCGAACTCAAGAGCAGAATCGATGAGTTGGAGAAAAATAGGACTGTTGCCGAGAATGCTGAACTTAGAGCTAGAGTTGTAAAATTAGAACAGGATATAGATGAACTTAAAAAAGAATTAGAATCTAAGAAAAATCGCAAATTTCAGGAAAAATGTATTCTAATAGTCCAGATACTTCTTAATGAGGAACCTGTGATTAAATATCGGCCATCTTTTATGGAAGAATTAGAACTTGATATCTTCTTTCGAAGTAATGGAATTGCATTAGAGATTCAAGAGGCTCAACATCGGTTCCATAATACCAGCTGGTATAAAGATATTAAAAAACTCAAGGATATTATTAACTATGATTGAAAGAAAAGAATCCTATATCAACTTAATGGGATTTATCTTCTTGAGATATGGTATGATGAGAATCCAGAAGTTACTATTCCTAAGAAGATAAATAAATTTAGAGAGTTTATTGATAGAAAAATCTTTAATCTTGATTAGTCTTATAAATCTTTATATAATGACTTAGTATCATATGCAATAAAATTGATTATATATGTAGCTATTCATAAATTGCTATATTTTTTTCTCTTTGATCAAACTGAATATGGCAATTATTTTACTTGTTCAGAGATATGTTCTATATGTAATAAAGATCATAAGAAAGAAAATATAAGAGATAATATATAGGATATATAGGATAGTAGAAATTATATCAATACAAAAATCTATCATCTCAAATATTGGAAGGCTTATCAAAATTCAATTCAAATAGTAATGGTGAAAGCATAGATAATCATTTCTCATACTTATATAATATTGACTTAATATTATATAATATATTTTTTTTTCAGATATTACTCTAATCAAATATAATAACTAGTGTAAGTAATAGATTTTTAAATCTTTTTTTAATATATATCGGAATCTTTTTTGATAATATCTTTGATGAAAATACTTTTATCAATACTTTTTCAATATTTTTTTCAGTATATATATATACTTACATTATATGTATTAATTTCTCATCTTTAAAATTATATTCATGATATTACAAAAATCTATACTCATTTATTATAATATCTATCATCTCCTCTTGATCTATTATTAATTTTTAAAAAAGCTATCTATCTTCTTTTGTAATTGAAAGACAGATTTCTTTAGGTTTAAAGTCAATATATTAAGATAATTTTTCATGTAATTCAACTATTTTATATATTATCAAGCCTTTAATATATAAGTTATTTTAAATATATAAAAAATAAATCTGATTTTAACTATCAATATTAAATCAAATTTAATAGATTTAAATCTTTAAATTTAATATAAATTATATAATTATAAAATATAATTTATATAGATAATTATTCAATTTTAAATAATATTAAGTGAAAGAATAACTGTCAATTTCTAGTAATTTATAATAGAAAAACTTCAAGAAATAAATCTGAAATCAATTAGTAGATTATAAAAATAATAATAAATTGACTAATTACTATAAGTGATATATGATTATTAGAAAAATAATATATTTATGGAAAGATAATCTTAAAAGTACTTTTAAAATAAATATTATAATATATTATAATTGTAATTAGCTTGTTTATATTAATTAGAAATGTATTTATAGAGAATATTATAGATCTATAATTAAAAAGTATTGGAATATAAATTGCATAAAAAATACATATTATAATATTAATCATAAAGACTATATAAAACTTAAAAGCAGATCTAAAGCTAATAACTTCTACTTCAAAAAAGAAATAATTCATCAATATAAATTGTAAATATAAAATACTATTAGAAGAGTTAAATATACAAGAGAAATTAATAAAAAAATTTAAGCATATATTACTATACAATAAAAGATTATTAAATAAATTTATCACCTATTAGAATTAATTACTCAGAAGCTCATTTTTCATTATATATATTTACAAAATATTAGAACAGAAATATATCAAATTAATAATATATAATTTATAATTCTAGTAATATATAATATATATCAGAGATATTAATTTTATTATATATATCTATTTATTTGATTTATTAATTATATAACTTATTCATATATTTTTATTTAAAATAAAATTATTTAAGATATCTTTAAGAGCTGGTACTTTAGACTTTATTTTATTCTCTTTAAGAACTGATAATATTTTTTTTGTTTTAAATTACAAACTTTTTCATGATTCTATAAAATTTAACAGAATTTTTAATAGAATATATCAAAATAAAATTTAATCAAGTATATTCAGAGTTAATAAAATAATTATCTCTCTTATTAATAGAAGAATCATAAAGATATTTTATTATAAAAAAATATAATTCTTTTATAGAAGTGAAGGTATGTGATATAAATCTAAATATTAAAGATTTTTTGCAATATAAAATTATTATATATAATAAAAAAAATATTATATTGAAGTTTATTACCACTTGAAAATTTATCTAATAATATAGATATAGTTAATTAAGAATCTCAAATTCAAGATATTATTATTTTGATTTGTATATATAATCAAATACATAAGTATTCTTACTTTATAAGTAAGAAAAAATTAATTACTGAATCAAGAAAGAGATTAATATTTTATTTTAGTAATTACTAGAATATAATAAAAAAACTTTTAATAAATTTATATGAAAAATTATTATAGAATATAAGAAAAGAATAAAAACTAAGAAGAAATTATGATGTAAAATTAAAAAAAAAAAATAGAATTACAAGAGACTAAAAAATATCTTGAATATCTAAAACTATATTTTACTTATTAAAAAGATTAAGTTCTTTATTCTAGCTAGTATATATAAATAATAGATCATCTTTTTTTCTAATTAAATTAATAATAATAAATTTCCTACCATATAAAAATTTATTAATAATTTTAATAATATTATGTTAATTATTAACATATTGATAAAGAATTCTTATAAGATCATTTATATTATAACTTCTATTAAAGAGTATAATATAATTCAGATTTTTTTTATTATTGTTAGATAATTGAAAAATAATTATATTATATATATAAAACTAATATTAAGAAATAATTTTATTTTGAATCTTCTTAAATTTATTATATAGATCTTTAAATATAACTACTATACTTCTTGAAGAAAAGAATTTATTTATTTTTAGAATTTTATTAAACTTTATTATTTAAAATATAATATTTTCATAAAATAATTTTGATAATAATTCCAAAGATATAAGTATTTTGATTCTTTAAGATAATATTCAAAAAAAAACAAGATTATTATTTTTAATATAGTAATTTTCTTCTTTTTTTCTATTAAATATTTGATAAAGTTTATCTTCAAGTAAAAGATTAATAATCATATTTATTTTTTCAAAATTATTTTATTCTGAAACTAGAATTTTAAAAAACTATCAGAGTTTAATTTTATATTTATTATTTTTTTCATATTTTTAATTTTATCTATATTATATATTAGCATAAGTATAGATTTTATATTTAAGACTGATATTATATTATGATTTATTTTTTATATAATAAATAATCTCTCTTTTGTAATTCACTTTTTATAAATATATATAAATTTACAGAATATGAGATTTTAATAAGATTTATATTTTGTTTCTTACATATTTCTTGCTTTTTTCTATTTTACTATTTTTGTTCTTTTAAATTAGTTTACCTCTGCTTATAAAATATTATATTTTGATAATAATATTATATTTTCTAAAATTTGAATGCTAATTTTAATTTCTCATTATATCTATTTAAATATAAATCTTTCAAAAATAGAGTTAAACATAATAAAAATTTCTTATCTAACAAATCTTCAAAAATATATCTCATGAATTACTTCTCTTTAAAATATGAATAAATTAAATATCATTCAAATTTATTTTTCTGAATCTTATAAGATATATCTTATTGATAAAGTTCTTTTTTGTAAGATCAAAGATAAATACTAAATCTATTTATTTGATTAATTTTATCAAGATATTTATTATTATATTTCTTAGTATAAGCCTAAATTTTAGCTATTTTATTAATAATATGAATAAAATTAATAGATCTGAAATAAATATTTTCTTCTAATATACTTTGAAATAAAAGATCTAGATTATGAGTTAGATATATTAATTTTTTATACACAAATACTCTTTTTGAAGAATATTTATCATTATTATTTCTGAGATAATAGAGTATAGATTCATTTTTTATTATTATAATTTTGCTAATTTTATATAATAAAAGACTCCATACTGGATCTGTAACTTATTTTTATTCTAAATCTAATGATTCTTTCTATTTTCTATTAGCTAATAAATAATAAATACTATTTTTTTTAACTTATTTTTCTTATTTTTTCTAATAGGATGCTTATATTTTGTAAATAATCTAGATTCTGTTTATTCTAGTTTGATAGCTTTTGCTAGAGCTAAACTTTATTTTGATAAATCTGAAGCTTAAATAAGATGTATTAAATAGTTATTTAAGTAATTAATAACTTTTGACAAATACTTAATTCATTTTCTTATTAATATAAAATTTAAAGTTAGACTTTTAATAACATATTGAATCTTATATAATATTTCTGTAAATATTTTATAAAATCTATTTACAATAGTCATATTATGATGAGAGTATAAACTAATTACTTGAATTATTATATTATGCTTCTGCATCAAATAAGCTATTTCATCTATTTATACCTTATTATTATTAGTTTATAGAAGTATAAAATAAGTAAATGAATTATTAGAATTATCATAAATTTTTTTAAATACTTTAATAATCTCAGAATTTTTTTTAATATTAGAAGAACTAAGATTTTATATTAGTTACTTATATCTATAATTTATAATACTGTCTTCCATATTTTTTTCTTATATTTGTTATATATAAAAAATAGAAAATCATATATATATACATAATTTGATTTGCTAATTTTTTCATAAGTTACTCTAAAAATATATTTAGAAAAAGAAGAATATATTTATTATATACTCTGATTATATAATTATTTTCAAATTTTTTTAATCAGAAAATAATATTCTTCTTTCTTAAGATCTCTAAGTAATAATTCAGTATTAGAATAATAATCTCTAGACTAATAGAATAATAATTAATAAATTAGAATAATTCTTTATCTACCTGTATAATAATAATACTAGATTTTATATTAAATATAATCATATAAAATAAAAATAACTCAATTAAAATATTCTTTAAAAACTGCACAGAATTTAGCTAAATCTCATAAAGATAAGTATTTATTTAATAAATATATTTATATTAAATATTTCTTATATTAGAAATATTTTAAAGCTTATAAATAGGAGAGAGAACTTTATACTATAAAGTCTGATTCATGATATT